GAGCTATGAGCCACCAACTCCGCCATCAAATTACTCCAGTCCACCACCTCCACCTGAGTATTCACCACCACCAACATCAGCTCCACCACCAAGTTACTCCAGTCCACCACCGCCACCATATGCAACTCCGCCACCAAGTTACTCCAGTCCACCACTGCCTGAGTATCCACCACCACCGTCACCGAGCTACGAGTCACCGCCACCACCGGCACCATCACCAAGCTATGAGCCTTCATCGCCACCACCTCCGCCCAGTTATGAGTTACCCTCGCCACCGCCACCAAGTTACAACCCCCTTGGCGGAAGAACGACCAGCTGTAGGCGTTTGGAAACACCAACATCATTGAGTGACACTGATACCCGACTTCTCAACAGCCTCCTCAAGATGGAATACATACTCTCCCAGTTTTACATGACGGTAGCCAATGGTGGCACCTTTCACATGAGTAACCACAATTCTTCCCAAACCTCTTCGCTGGTGCACAAGCTAATGAACGAATTTGCTGTTCATCAGCTAGATCACATCAGGTTGGTCAAATTTTGTGTTTTTGTTTCTTACTTTTCCCTCTTCTTCCTTGGGTGCAGTGTGCTGTCCCAGTTCTTGAAAACCCGAGCTGTTGCAAGGCCACGCATGAACGTTGGAAGGCAAGCTTTCTCTGGAATCCTCCAGGCGGCGATTGGCCAGAAACTTCCACCCGAATTCGATGCGTTTGGAAGCCCCGAGAGAGTTCTTTTGGCATCTTTTGTCATGTCCCCTATGGCACCTTCGCTTGCTGAGGCGATTCTTCCCCAGCTGGAAAACGAGGCTTCAAAGGCGGTAAAACACGCCATCTCTGTCGATCAAGATCTAAACCCTGCTCTTTGTCTTTCTTTGTGCATGTACACAGATCGTGGCAGGAATGCTGAGAGCTCTGACGAGTGAGGACGCGGCCGTGAGAACGATTCTAATTTCAATGAGCGAGAACAAAGTCGTTCCATTTCCAATGACAGTGGGCGCATTCTCCAGCAAGATCACGGAGCTGCGCCAGCTTTTGGCTCTCCTGAGCGATGAGTGTGCCGGAAAGCCGTTCGCTTCACCCTCTTTGAGCCAAGACAACTCGATGGTGGTGGAGCCAGTGAAGATGGTTGCAAGACAGGGTACGATGGGCGTGTTTAATGTGCTTGGTAACCTCGGAATCCTAGCTTAGAAGCTTCAGAAATTCATTCATTGCATGATCCTTCCATACATATTTGTTTTGGAAGCTTTTGAATACATCCATTTATTTGAAAAACAGCCATAACTTTGTTTTTTTTTTTTTTGTTGAGAATAGCAAGAGCAAGTCAACCTTAATCAAAAAGTCAAGCTTTGGCTAATGTTTCAATTTGTTTCTCTTATTAAGTCATACAGATCCATCTTAGTTAGATTTTTTTGTTGTTGGACCGTTAGGAATCTCTCTCCGTGCATTCTATCTGGTTAACTTTAAGTTTGCAGTCACTTGTGTCATGCTTCAAGCTGCGCACAGTGAAACTATAAACAGCATAGATATAGATTCGTTTCTCATTTTATAACTGGATTTGATCGTGGGATCATGCTGGGCGATAACTTCTGACTAAGTGCAGCGTCGATGATCCCAGCGAAAGTTTGCTGCCCGACGTTGATGCGTCGCGCCCTGATAGCACTGTTGTTCGCAAGTGCACTGCAGCAAACCATCCACTATTGATCACAACTTCAACGAGAACTATAGCTACCTCATGTGGTCGAGCTGATGGCCCTTGAATTCCACCACCATCCCGTGAACCAGAGAGGAGGGCTGCGAAGAATTTGCCATTGGAGCTATGCTGCCACTCCTGTTGGCGATGAATGGTCTTCATGACGATATTGAGGAGGGCGGCATCTCTCTCGCTCAAGCTCGCCGATGGCGACTCAATTGCTTCAGGCCAGCTCGTCAGGAAGATCCCAAAAATGATATTGCCATTCACATCAGAACCGAAGTTATTGAAGAAGCTTTGCCACTACTAATGTTTACGGTGCTGGATCTCTTGGGATGCATGCCCGGCTTCTCAGGCTGAGAGTAACCTTCGCTTGCACTCCCCGAGGCACTGAAAGTCGAGACGCACAGCAGCAGGAGGAGGAGGAGCACTTGTGACATCATCGTTCCTTAAAAACTCATATAAGAGAGCAAGGAGAGTGGATTGATCTTTCCGCTTGCTAGGCGAGCTAGCTTTATACTGCCATCGAAGCATGGGCGTACAAAGCCAAACTCATAAACCACTTTTGCCAATCCAGGTCCTGATGACCTTAGCGTTTTCCATTAAATCATGCAATGCCAACATGGTCTTTTCTTGACAAAGGCAACTCTTTCATTTGTGTTGAGACATCGCATTCTCGATAACAATGATAACGATTCTTTTGATTTGTCCATGGTGTAAGCTTGAAAGTATAAACAAGCACACCTTTGTCCGATACTTCAGTTCAAATATGTTTGACTTTAAGATGGTTGACAACGTCCATTGATCACTCGCACTTTGTCATGGTGTTCTTCCACATCTCGCTTTTCCTCACTCTCTCGATCGCATCAAATGCTGCTCCAGTCCCGGGACCAATCGAGTACTCCTGCTGGAGCTGCGGAGAAGAGAAATTCACCAACGGCAGCTCTTACTCCACCGCCCTCGACAACCTCCTCGCAACTCTCATCACAAATGCTCCGGTCACTGGCTTCTTCCAGAGCTCCGTCCAAAGCGCAGAGCTCACTCTCTATGGACTGCTCCAGTGCCGCCAAGACATGTCGAGAGACTCCTGCGACCAGTGCGCTCGAGACATCGGCCAGGCCGTCAAATCTAGGTGCTCCTCAAGCCTTGGAGCCAAAATCCAGCTCTACGGCTGCTTCCTGCGGTATGAAAACCATCCCTTCTTCTCCGTCCTGGACGAGTCCCTGCTCTGTCTGAACTGTAGCAGCATAGCTTCGTCTCCCGGATATGACGACAACCTCAAGTCCGCACTGGCGACGCTGTCTCGGCGTGGATCTTCGTTCACAGCCACGGTTGGAAGTGGAAAGTCTCAAGTTTTCGTGCTCGGTGAGTGTCGAGGAGACTTGAGTTCCCAGCAGTGCGACTCGTGCGTGAGAGTGGCGATGAGAAACATGACCGATCGATGCATCGGGAACACCAGTGGATCCATTCTTCTCAACAGCTGCTACACGCGCTTTGACGCCTTCAAGTTCTACAGCAGCCTCGACCGTGAATCCAGATCCGGGTCGGGCAGGGATCGAATTCTCAAGTTGGTGTTTGGGATTATTGGAGGTGCGTTGCTGCTGGGGATCTTTGCATTTTGCTGTGTCAAGAACAGGCATCGGTTGACTCCTGCTGCAAGAAAGAAGCTTAAAGAAGGTATAGTGTGTTTTCTGAAACAGATCCTTCTTTTTTACCTCTACATGGCAGATCTCGACTTGCAAGCCAACATTCACCACGGAGCAACCATCTTCTCGTATCATGCACTGAAAACAGCCACAAACAGCTTTAGCGATGACAACAAACTAGGCCAGGGAGGATTCGGAGTCGTCTACAAGGTAAGCAAAAACTATGTAGAGTTCCAAATTCGTTTACCTCGAAGAAATGCAGGGCACTTTGCCAGACGGAAGAAGAATAGCCATCAAGCGGCTCACGACGCAGTCCCAAAAAGGAAAGCAGGAGTTCCTCAACGAAGTTAAGCTTGTTAGCAGCGTCCAGCATCGAAACTTGGTCAAATTATACGGCTGCTGTACCGAGGAATCCGAAAGGCTTCTCGTTTACGAGCTTCTCGAGAACAACAGCTTGTCCAGAGTCCTGTTTCAAGGTACGTGCTTCGTGAAAGTTTGAAAAGATCACGAACTAAGTAGTTACCTGTGATCCAGGAAATCTTTGTCTCTCGTGGGAGCAAAGGTACAATGTCATCCTTGGTGTAGCTCGAGGCCTTGCCTATCTGCACGAGGATTCGCAGGTAAAGATCATACACAGAGACATCAAGGCAGGGAACGTACTTCTCGACGAAAAGTTCGAGGCCAAGATCGCAGACTTTGGCCTGGCAAGGTTGTACTCGGACGAGAGATCTATCAACACTCAGATCGCAGGAACTCTGTAAGAACAAATCTCTTGAGAAAGTTTCACAATCTCTTACCGCATTGCAGGGGATACATGGCACCGGAGTACGCACTCCACGGCCACCTCACAGACAAAGCAGACGTTTTCAGCTTTGGGATCCTCAGCCTGGAGATTGTAAGTGGACGAAGGAGCACGGACTTGAATCAACCGATCGAGCGACAATACCTTCTGGAATGGGTGAGTAGCGATCGCATTCTTCATTCGTTTTTTGGATCGAAAGAGTTTTTCTCGCATCGTAGGCCTGGAAGTCACACGAAAGGAACGAACAACTGGACCTTGTAGACGCGGGACTCAACACTGTACCTCCAAGCTTTGACAAGGAGCAAGCGATAAGAGTGATTTGCGTTGGGCTCCTGTGCACCCAAGCTACGCCATCGCAGCGCCCAAGCATGTCACGAGTCGTGACGATGATCTGTGGAGAGGCCAAGCTGGGCAAAGTGTCGCGGCCGGCGATGGTAGAGCTCGTCGATGGAGTGCTCAAGGCGGACACGCTAAACTCGAGCTACAGCAGCCAGGAACTCCACTCGTCGCAATGCATCTCCTCGGCGCGATGATCGAACAACCCTAAAAATCTTTAAGTTAAAACCTTTAACGAGAATGAGCGAAGAGTAAAATCTTTATTTAACGAAGAACCTAAAAATCTTTTCCTTTTGTCAACGATATCAATTTACTCACGCAATGAGATGACGCTCCTCCACACCATGCTCCTCCTCACAAGCTTCATCTTCTCCCACCACCATCAAACGCTTGCCACACTGATCGAGTCCTCGTGCTGGAACTGTGGCCGAGAGAAGTACTCCAGAGCACCACCACTTCTTCTCTCTTACTCCACCGCTCTCGACGATCTTCTCGCATTTCTGCCCCCCTCACCGGTCACTTCCGGAGCTCCGCTCCCAGCCGCGATGGCAAACTCACAGCTTACGGAGTCCTCCAGTGCCGCCAGGACCTGTCCCGAGATTCCTGTGACCAAGACGCAGCCCAGGCCGCCAGCCCCGGAAGCTTTGAAGCTCGGATCCTCCTCTACGGCTGCTACCTCATCTACGATAACCATCCTTTCTTCTCCGTCCTGGACGAGACTATTGTATAATGGCCAGAATGTAAACTCCGCGATGGTGGTGTTGTCTAGCCATGGATCTTCCACCACTGTCACTTCTGGAGACGGCAAGTCGCGAGTCTTCGGGCTGCGCGAGTGTCGACGGGACATGAGCGCCGAGCAGTGTAACACTTGCATGGCCGTCGCGACGAAGAACTTGCACCGAGAGGTGTCCTCACAGTGCCAGTGGTTTCATCCTCTTCCAGACCTGCTATGCTCGTTTCGACACCTTCCTGTTCTACAGCAGCTTCAGTCGTGAATCCGGATCCAGAGGCAGCAGGAAGACGATTCTCAAGATGGTGCTCGGCGTCGCCACGGGTGGGACTGTTTCGCTGGGAATTATGATATTCTGCTGCCTGAGGATCAAGCACCGATACTTAAATCCTGGAAGGACTTGCGTCAACGTAGGTACGTTGCTACGAAAGAGAACTATTACCTCGAAGCTCGTTTTCTATAATTTGTTGGACAAGGACGAGCATTCATCAGGGAGCAACCATCTACCCATGAAAGCAGCCTTCAGCGATGATAAAAAACTACATGTGGAGTGGTCTACAAGGTGAGCAGTGACTTGCCTTGGGAAAAGTTTTGTATGATCGAGAAGATCTTTAATCAGGGAATTCTGCAAGACGGTAGAAAGATAGACATCAAAAGACCTACCACGGAGTTGCGAAAAGGAAAACACGAGTTCCTCAACGAGGTCCGGCTTGTAAGCAGTGTCCAGCACCGGAACCTGGTCAAGCTATACGGCACCGAGGAATCTAAAGGCTGCTGGTGTTCGAGCTCCTGGAGAACAACAGCCTGGCCAAAGTCCTGTTTGGTAAGGGCCAAGCCCATCTCTTGAAAGCTTTTGACAATGCTCCACTTACGTACCGGCTGATCCAGGAGAACCTTGCCTTTCCTGGGAGCAAAGATACAATATCATCTTAGATGTAGCTCGAGGACTCCTTTACCTGCACCAGGATTCCCAGAGAAAAATCATCCACAGAGACATCAAAGCCGGGAAGGTACTTTCGGACAAACGGTTCGAGGCAAAGATTGCGGACTTTGGGCGAAACTGTACTTGGATGAGAAATCCATCAACACACAAATCGCAGGAACTGTGTAAGCAAAGTCACACCACATTCTTCAGATACGAGAGCAAACCTTTGTTTTTGCAGGGGATATATGGCACCGGAGTGCCTCTTGACGGACAAAGCAGATGTTTTCAGCTTTGGAATCCTGAGCCTGGGAATCGTGAGTGGTCGAAAGAGCACGGATTGGGATCAACCCAGTACCTTCTGGAATGGGTGAGTGATCGAAAAAAACTTTTTTCCTCCTTGAGAAAGCTGGAGCGATCCCATCGCAGGCCTGTAAGTTACACGAATAGAACAAGATACCGGAGCTGCTAGACGAGAGAATCGTCAGCTCACCTGGGCCAAGTTTTGACGAAGAACAAGTGGAGAGAGTGATAAGCGTGGGGCTCAAACTTCTGTCTAGCTTCTGTCTAGCGTTGTGACAATGCTCTGCGGAGAGAAGCCACTGGAGCGCCTTGACGGCGGCGTGCTCATGGCCGATAGAGTGCTCTACAACTGTAGCCGCGAGCTATGCGTCCACTCCGCTCGATAGAAATCGCCCTGGTGGTATAGTAATAAGTCTTTTTGCAATATGATTCCTACCAGGCAGTGTAGCGCCTCGTTCTATCACAGATTTCTTGGTCACTTCGCGTGCCGATGGAGGAATCGCCTCGCGCGGTGAAAGATGAAGAGCCCTAACACGATGACCGTTGTCCGTCAATCTGGGCCGTCCCTTTAGAATATGCTTGAAGATCCGTCACTCACAAAGCGAAAAACACCAGTGATATTGGCACGGCTCAATCTCATGCCTCTGCTGCGACTCCATCGATCCTTTCCCATCGCAAATTTTTCGTGCGATGCAGCAGCGTCATGCGATTGAGCAGAGCCAATATCGCTCTCGCTCACCTGCAGGGAAGATCAAACCCAAAACGACTAAACCCAGAAGTTGCAAACGATTGATTCTCTCATCGCTCGCCACAAAAGGAGGTTCCGATCGAAATTCAATGACATGCCCATCGCAGTCTCGCAAATTCCAGCTGCAGCAAGGATTATATGTAAGAGAGAAAGGAAAAAGAGATGGAGTCGTGAAAGATAGGAGCATCCATGTATTGACAATGTTGTATTGATTATAATAGACATTCATCAGCCTCAAGAAAACGACCGATCCATTCATTCATCGCCGAACCGACAGAGTATCATAGAATTCCTTTTCAAAACAATTCATAAAAAAATGGATTGATATCAAGATAAAAGCCACCACCTTTGTTGAATTCAAGAGCTTCATCAAGTCCCATCACATGGCAGCCAGCTTTTGTGCTCTTCTTTCAGGGAAGAAAAGGATTTCCAGACACTCGTGTACAACATACTTACGCTGGTTTTGTGGTGTGGCCTCTTCAATTCTCTTCTTTCTTGACCCGCGCGAATGAATGAAACTTCTGTGGATGGATCGAGAGAGCTTTCAAGACGCCTGGTTGCGGCACGGCGTGGATCTCGCCGGCATCGTTTACTCTCTCTCTCTCTCTCTCTCTCGTTTAAGTTCGTGGCTTCAAAGAACGATCTTATAGTTTATTCCACCGTGATCAAAACTTACTTTAGCCGATTGATTTAGTTTCCCTTCTTCCTGTACTCGCAGCCCACTGTGAGGAAGGGTTTGCCACCAGTCGGCTGGCACAACACCGTCGAGCAATTCGAACAAGAAATGACCGCCTGAGAGTGACTAAAGAAAGTCGTACTACAGAAAAGGAAAGAAAAAAGTTATGATGCACAAAAGAAATGAAAACGAGGAGTTGAATACATGCTGAAGCAGCCTCGGCACTTGACATCCTGCAAGACCAAGATTATTGCCTAAAACCTCGGGAAGAAATCACTGTTCTGCAAACCATGAAGAAGGAGTTTGGAGTTTGCCTTGAGCTTGTGTTTGCAGCGCTCAACTTCGATGTCGCTCGGGAGCACCTGGAAATTCAAGTTGCAAATCTGATTCTCTCTCCATAAACTTTGCTGATGAACCCTGAACTATAACCTCATCCCTAATCAATCTGGACCGTTAGTCCTTTATTTAGAAAGATTTTCTTACAAAGTTTAGCACAGGTTAAGCTGTCCATTCTCGTTGGAGATGTAATTATTGAGGTCGAAAGCGTTTCCCCTTCCATTGCATGTCCCCCTCAAGACCCCCTTATAGTTGAGGCCATAGCCGAAGCATCCATCCAAGAAGTTTGTAAATCCAGGGCCGGTTCCAATCTCTCCATTTCTGGTCCCTACAAACTTTTTTAGATCGATGTTTGGCCATGCAGGGTTCCCCTTCTCGTCTTTGCACTTCGCATAGAGAACTCCATCCTCGTAATCGAAAATCTCGCAAGAATTAATGAATCCAGCGCAAGCATCCTGCAAGATCCGGAAAGATCATAGCATTCATTCTTCAATAGGAAAACCAATCTTACAGCTCTATGCGCTAGAATCGCCGTGGCGACTGCCATCGTGAAAGCCCAAAACTTAGACATTGCTTTTACTTACTTACCTTCATGTTTATAGAACTTAATTAAGGACAAATTATCAGTCACAAGCTTTGGGATTTCATTAAAAAAACACGGAAAGTCCATTCAGATCAAGCTCGTCTTTTGTCTGAAAGCCAGCACACCCTCGCTCAATGACATGCGTGAACGAAAAACACGTGTTTAGCATTTTTTTAATCTAGTTTATAATCTTGTTTAGTCCCCGGCGTGGTGGAGTTCGTGCAGCTGGATTGGACCCATAGACCATGGCATTGTTTTCGTTAATTTGATCTGGTCATCGCAGCCAAGGTTCGAAAACTATTCTAAAACCTCACGTCCCCATACGCCTAAGATCCTGGAGCAAATCGCTGGGGTCCCAACAGAAGTTTCTATCCATCATCTCGATTAGTCCTAAATAATCACATCGTATTGACAATCGATCGCACATATTTTACTATTGTACGAAGTATTCTTTCACCTCGGGTGGTAAAAAGTCGTCGTCGGCCGTCAATGTCTCATAAGGGCCTTTCCAAGGGATTTGACCGCTGGTAAATTATAGTACACGGACGGCCATGGCAGCAGTGACGTGGACTCGAATCATGCACCCCTTTGAAAACTCCACGATCGCAAAAGTAACGAGTTACCATCGCCAGGAGTTACCATCGGTAAAGTAAAGGCCCGCGTAAATACGGTAACAGACGGTAATAAGTACAGGCAAGAGTTTTTACTGGGCGAAAACTGTTAGGCTAAATCAAGGAATTTTACAAGGAATTTAATGAAGAGGAATAAAAGAAGAAGAAGAAGAAGAAGCAGAAGAAGAAGAAGAGAGGAAGAGGACGATGAAGAAAAGCTAGACATTGTCAATGACACGAGAAAACCCTAAAACTCTGCCCAGGATCGTCCGGGAGGAATTGGGTCGC